ATCCCAAATAGGCTTCATGCTGTCAGCTTGGGGCCTCACTCAGGGCTTGAACTCACAAACTGTGAGATCATGATCTGAGCCAAAGTCAAGAGTCGGACATCCAACCAATGAGCCACCCAGTCACCCCCGGAATTAATCAATTTCCAAATTACACTGATGATGATGACTTAACATATCATTAAAATGGGAAAAAAATAACTTTGTTCATTAAGGGAGGAACTGGTTTGCCAATTATACATGGTGAAGACTTAAGGTGCTGTAGTTTTAGCATCATCATAGGAATTCCACTCTCCTTTTATTTTTTATTTTACTTTTGGGTTATTCTCTGAAGAGGGCAATTTGTTAGTATCTTTCAAAATAAAAAAATGCACACTTCTTTAAAATAACTTTTAATTTGGGAATAACTTTAGATGTAAAGAAAAGATAAAAAAAATCGGAGAGATTCCTGTATACCCACCCAGCCTCCCCAAGTGTTAACATCTTATCGAATCATGAGAGATTTGTCAACACTAAGGTTTTTTTTTTTTTTTAATTTTTTTTTTCAACGTTTATTTATTTTTGGGACAGAGAGAGAGAGACAGAGCATGAACGGGGGAGGGGCAGAGAGAGAGGGAGACACAGAATCGGAAACAGGCTCCAGGCTCTGAGCCATCAGCCCAGAGCCTGACGCGGGGCTCAAACTCAGGGACCGCGAGATCGTGACCTGGTTGAAGTCGGACGCTTAACCGACTGCGCCACCCAGGCGCCCCAACACTAAGGTTTTAACATTGGTACAATACTATCAACTCTACTACATACAGACTTTATTAGGATTCACCAGTTTTTCCACTAATGGCACTTTTTTTTTAAGTTTATTTGAGAGAGAGAGCACAAGGAGGAGAGGAAGAGAGAGAGAGGGAGAGAGAGAGAGAGTCCCAAGCAGGCTCTGCACTGTCAATGCACAGCCCCATGTAGGGCTCAAACTCAGAAACTGTGAGGTCATGACCTGAGCTGAAAACAAGAGTTGGATGCTCAACTGACTGAGCCATGCAGGAACCTCCTAATGGCACTTATTTAAGAATAATTTTTTTTTAAGATTTTTTAAAATATTATTTTTTAATTTAATTTAAAGTGATCTCTACACCCAACATGGGGCTCAAACTTAGAACTCTGAGATCAAGAGTCACATGTTCTACTGACTGAGCCAGCCAGGCACCCCAACAATAAACTTCTTATTTTAGAATAATTTCACATTTTCAGAGAAGTTGCAAAGATAAAATAGAGAGTTCCCAGATACCTTTCACTCAGTTTCCCCCAATGTTAACATTATATATTATTACCACAGGGCATTCGTCAAAACTAAGAAGCCAACATTAGTACATGATTATTAACTAAACTAGACTTTCTCCTTTTTTCTGTTCCAATCCAAAATACCACATTGCATTTGTCATGTCTTCTTAGTCTTCTTGGAGCTGTAGTTTTGTCTTTCCTGGTTGTTCATAATCTCGGTAATTCTGAAGAGTCAGGTATTTTATAAAGAGTCCCTTAATTTGGAGTAATCTGATGTTTTCTCTGCATATTTAAAAATTATTTTACTTTATTATTACTTTTTTTAATGTTTATTTTTGAGAAAGAGAATATGCAAGCAGGGGAGGGGCAGAGAGAGAGAAGGATGGGGGATCTGAAATGGGCTCTGTGCTGACAGCAGAGAGCCCAACACAGGCCTTGAACTCACAAACTGTGAGATCATAACCTGAGCCAAAGTTGGATGTTTAACCAACTGAGCCATTCAGGTGCCCTTACTTTTTTTTTTTTTTTAATTAAAAAAATTTATTTATTTATTGAGAGAGAGAGAGAGAGAGAATGTGTGTGAACAAGCAGGGGAGGGGCAGAGAGAGGTGAGAGAGAGAATCCCAAGCAGGCTCCATACTATTAGTGCAGAGCCTGCCACGGGACTTCAATTCACAAACCTATGAAATCATGACCTGAACTGAAATCAAGAGTTTGAGGCTTGGGGCACCTGGGTGGCTCAGTTGGTTGAGGGTCCAACTTCAGCTCAGGTCATGATCTCACAGTTGGTGAGA